AGCGAGAACAAACAGCTATCCGCGACAGCCTTGAAACAGAGGGGTATCATCGTTGCTGGAATTCCAGCAACTACCCAAATTGTGGCTTGGGTGGAAATTTACTGGTGACTAAAGCCAAACATCTCACGATCCTATAAACAGCAGTCCTAAGTGAGGCCCTTTGAGCTCTCCTGGACTGCAGTGGGCTGCACCAGCATCTCTCTCCGAGTGGGACGCCTCTCAGAGCTAGCAAACTCTCAAAGTTTGCCACAATCAGATGTCCATTGCTGAAGACGGACAGTGGAGCCAGGGCTGAAACCCTTCACTCCTCGAGGCTCAACCCTCGCCCGCTGAGAAATGCCAAGACATTCAACGTGAGTATTTCACTGAACTGGAGGGGGATTTTTGAAAGGTATACCATTTTTTTATATGTACTCAAGTTTGTGTGTATGCATGTGTGAATCAGCTTAAGTAGTCTGTAGATGTACGATTTAATTTCAACGTGAGTCTTACACTGCTCCATTACCCTTATTCCTATAAACCGTTGACCAAGTCTGAGACTAAGCTTGGACCCAGCTGCACCTAGACTCCTCTCTGAGAATGAGGTTAGAAAGAAAGGGGGTCTATTCTGAACCTTGTGACTCAATGGCCTCCTTATCCCCTGCATCCATGATCTCTCTCACTCGAGTGTAACCTAATTTTCTTTTATGCACTTCTTCCATGTACTAGATATACACACATATATATTACCCTTATTCACATAAACCGTTGACCAAGTCTGAGACTAAGCTTGGACCCAGCCGCACCTAGATTCCTCTCTGAGAAGGAGTTTAGAAAGCAAGGGGGTCTATTCTGAACCTCGTGACTCAACGGGAGGGTCCTCCTTATCCCCTGCATATACAATCTCTTTGTGAATCATTACAGCTCAGTGTAACTTAATTTTCCTTTATGCACTTCCGTGTAGTAATAGAGTGAACCTTGCCATCTTTGAATCTGTAACTAAGTCACTGTTTTGATCAATTTTGTCTAATCACTTTGTTAATCACTGATGACTGAGTGCTATTAAAATATTAGAATCAAATCCTGCAATTTGCTACAAGTAAATTCTAAACTGCTACTAAATCAAACTGTGTAAAGTCACTCATTCACAATAAATTAGCATAATCAGCAGGATTCACAAACCTGCATTTGTGACAACGAGACAACTAAACTTTTTCGGTAGCTGCTCTTTTTGCTCCATCACCTTTGGAAATCAAGGAGTAAGAAAGACTTTGAAATAAAAGGCACAGAGTTAACTAGAGGCTTAATATTCTGAAAACAAGCTGACAGTTCTTTCAGTCACTATGTATGATCCTTGGCCTCCACTTTTTTCCCCCCCCATTGAACTTATAAATTCTTATTCACTTCCATGATGTTATGTGGGAGACTGACAAAAGCAACTGGGGAAATGACTATGATGGGGGGGGAAAAAAAAAAATCTGAATTAATCCTACTTTAAGAATGCCCAAAGGACAGAATTGAAATGTAATGCATCTTCTGTGGTGAACACAAACAGAAGGAAACTATGATTCCATGCTGTGATTTTTAAGGAGCAAAGAGGAACTGATTTCAGACCCCTAGCCCAAGTTTGAGTGTGATTAAAAATACAGAACTGTGATTGATTTACAAGTGTTTGTAAGATAGTTGATTAAAAATTGAAGTTTTGGGTTACTGACAGACAAAGGATATATAGAGCTGTAGCATTATGAGCTTTGTCAAGCTGTTGCTCCAATATGCCTCTATCCCGGAGTGATAACATATAGGGAGACACTGTCAGCCTTTGAGCTCTTCTGACAGTGTCAGAAAGGAAGGTAGTAAAGGCAAATGGGACACTGGTCTGGCGATACGAGGACCCCTCTCATATTGTTGAAGTGAAGCTCATTATTTCCTGTGGATGACAGTTCCTCAAAATGCTACACTTCAACTGCTAACGATGATTTGAAACCAGCCTAAGAGTCAAGTATTCTTTATGATGCAGCTAACTCATCCATACCTGATCACAAGAAGATAGGTGTTGTCTTAAAACAAGTTTGTACTATGAAGTCAGGTGAATAAAAATGCTGGCATAATAAAAAATTCACAATGTCAAGTTCTCATTTCCAAAATATGCTTGCAGTTTTTCAGAAACTGATAGGTTCTAATGTCCACTAAAATAGCCAGCTATTACAGTTTCTTCCCTCCTTTCTTCACTATTCCACTTAAGGTACAGAAGAATACAATTTGAAATTAATAGATACACACAAATTAATTTATAGTTTTTCTGTTAAGTCTGATTCCTTTTGATATAGACTACCCGGGGACTCTATTGTTACATGCCTGCCTATTTCAGTATCATTTTTTGCAGACTATGGCTTCCGGATGGAAATCCTAAATCTCAATACTGAGACACATAGTAATTCCATTTTGATCACTGCATCGGAAAACATCTACAGAATGGCACAGAGTGACAGGTTTTGCTTCTAAGTTATTTGGACAATGGCACGGAATGAATCCTTAAATAAGTTTTCAAATAACATCAGCATGGGGGGATTTGTTGGAGAGCATGACTGCCATCCAGAGCACCCTAGACAAGCTGGTAGAATTCACCAGCAGCAACCACATGAAGTTCAATAAGGAAAAATACAAAGTCCTGCACTTGGGACAAAACTAAACCCTTGCAACAGCACAATCTGGGAACTGACTGCCTATGTAACAATTCTGCAGAAAAGGACCTAAGTGTCCTGCTGGACAAACTGAACACTAATCAGACATGCAGTGTTACGACAAAGACAAACCATGCCCTAAGCTACGTCAGCCACACTGTAGCCAGCAGACTGAGGGAAGTGATTATTCTCATCTAGTCAGCCCTCATGAGGCCCCATTTAGAGTAATGTGTCCAGATTTGAGCTCCTCAGTATGAGACAGACATGGGCAAACTGGAATGAATTGAACAGAAGGCTGCGAAGACACTTAGAAGGACCCACTATGAAAGTAGGGGCTGAGGGAGTTGGGTTTGCTTAAGCTGGAAGAAAGATGAGTAAGGGATCTGACTGTGGTCTTCCACTACCTAAAGGGAAGTTATGAATAGGACAGAGCCAGACCCATCTCAGACATGCACAGTGAAAAGACAAGAGGCGACAGTCACAAGCTACAACAAGGAAAATTCCAGTTTTACAGAAGGAAGAAATTCTTCACCATGAGAGTGATTAAGCACAGCCACAGGTGCCCACAGAGGCTGTAGGTATTTTAGATATTTTTGATATTTTCAAAACAACTGGACAAAGCCCAAGCAACCTTATTTAACTTTGAAGCTAGCCCTGCTTTGAGGAAAAGGCTGGACTAGAAGATGCCTATATTACCTTCCAGCATACATTTTTCTATGATTCACTTTACCACGATGGTATCAAGAATGGTTGATTTAAGTACTTTAGACAATAACTGATATTTTTAAAGGATAGCTTTCCACACTTATCCAGAAGGTTTGACTCAGACTGCTTCATTCTGAACAAAGTAAAATTTCCCCTGAGAAGAATCTATTCTAGTTCTAGGACATTATTATTATTTTCTATAATGCACACTGTAAAAAGAAGGTAAATTGTTCCTATAACATTAAATCCAGGGAACAGTTTTAAAACAGGATTATTTTTTTACCCAATTATCTGGAAAGTATTTATCCACTATCTCTCTCATTTTTGCTTGTTGAGTGTGAAGAATAGAAGGGTCAAAATACAGTATCACATAGAGCATAGCAGCCTGAGTAGCCAGGGCAGTGCTGCGGTGTTCTGGTAATGGATATGCAGAAACCTAGGAAAAGGGAACAAAGCAAAACAGAACATAATAAAATATAACATAAACCACTTGCAAGCACACATTAAAGAGTATGCTATATAGACACTAGGAGGCAAGCAGGATATGTGGGTAAGCTGGATATGCTTACACATGCAGCATACTTACCAGAGATATTTTACAGAACATAAAAGTTGACTGTGTAGATGCCTGCTAGCTTTAACAGGATATAGTAAGATATTACTATGGTGTAAATGAGTCAAAGGAGGGATGAACCAAAGAGCTTAAGATGACTTGAAAGGAGAGTTAGAAATAAATATTTCATAACAACCAGGTATGTTTAGTTCATCTCAGATAGAAACAAGTATTAATTTCACTTAAGTAAGAGGCAATTAGGATGCAGATAATTTAATTATTCACCAATTCCATGTACCGGCAAGATCAAAAAGATTCAAATTATCAACTGAATTTTCATTTTAAAAAAAATAGGATAATATATTAAAAGAATTCCACGCTAACAAAAAAGTTGGCATCAAAATCATATTCAACAAGACATAATGATTTGTCATTAGGAAAATAGTTCTCTGCTTTTATTTAGTAACATTCTATTTTCTTTAATTTTGTTTGGTTATTTCATTAGGTTAAATGTTCAGACTAGAAAGAAAAATCCTAGTAAGAAAAAAGGAGGCTCCTAGTAAGAAAAAGACTTCTGCCCATTGCCATCAAGAATAAGCTGCAAGTATCAAAGGAGATAACACCTCAGACATAACATAATTTAGTAAAAGAGACTGTATTCAGTTCAGGTTGAGCTGAAGATTTCTACCCTACTTTTTGTACTACATTTAGAAAAAGCACGTAGGTTATAATCATGCTTTGTATAGAAACACTGATCTTTTTCATTATCAGCAGTAAGCACTACAAAATAAAAATCACAAATTGTAACATTCTTTTAATGCAAAGGCAATAAACGAACAATATTATATAAAAAAGAGGAAAAGTAATTTTGATACAAAATATCAGCTGATTTAGGTAAGATTTCTAGGTTAAGTACTTTACAAGAGCATAGTCTCACAAACACTTCCCAGTTTCCTACCAGAGACATAGATTATGTCATAAAATGGGCTCTCTTCACAACTTGCTAAGTTCTCTTTTTTTTTTTCATTTCTAGAACTCTGCACAAGTTAAAAAATTCTTACAGTACAGTACCGTACCTGAAAAGGCATTTTTTCCTCTTTGAAGGTTAATATGTCTCTCCAGAGTATGAAAGTGTTTTCAATAAGGTCCCTACCTTTAAATTATTACTCTTGCCTAAAGACTTAAGCCTTTGTTTATTTCTGACAATCATTCATTAATCTTCAAATGCTCATTTTCTGGCATCTATAAACTGCTTCAGTTTTCCAGGATTCACTAGAAGTGTGTCAATAATTACAGAAATAAGATTGCTTGTCCATGCTAAAGACTGAAACCTGCTCAAAAGCAAATGCTTTGTTAAAGATCTCTCAAAGGAGTCATATTAGAAAAGGCTGTAAATATAGTAGCCATCACTCATACGTTGCTTCAATTTTTGTTCTTTTCCTTTATTAATACCATTGTCACAGTTAAGAAGTGCAATACTACTGTTTTTTTTTTTTAAACACAGTCTACTAAGGGATGATGAATCTCTTTGCAGTAACTAAAAGAACGGGACTCTCCGAAGGAATTAGTTATTAAAAGTGGCCAATAATTTATCATTTAAAGACATTAAATATAAAAGATTTTTTTTTTTTACTGTGAGGTTGGCCAAACACTGGAGCAGGTTGCCCAGAGAGGTTCTGCAGTCTGCACCTCTGGAGATACTCAAAAGCCAACCGGATGCAGTCCTGGGCAACCTGCTCTAGCTGACCCTGCTTGAGCCAGGGGACTTGAGTAGGTGATCTCAAGAGGTCCCTTCCAACTTCTGTGATTCTGCGATTTGTTTTTTTCTGGGCTTCATAGTTGAACTAACCTGAGAAACAATTTTATATTCAGTTTTAGATCCCTCCTTTTATCTCACAGTAACTTACCTGGTTATAAATGTCATCTGACCGTAAGCGGCCAATAACCATGCTAATGAATGTTTCACTTATGGGTACCCTGCTGAAGTAACTCTCAGGGTAGTTTGGAGGTCTTTTAGCTCCAGGTTGGCTTGAGTATCCAGTGCTTCGAAGCAATTTACAGATATCATCTAAATTGGAATCAGCAGAAGATCGGGCTGCACTGTTTGACAAAAGAAAGGAACAAAAATTGAACTGTATAACCTAATCATCTTCTCTTCTCCCTCCCCTTGTAACCACACCCTTCCTCCAAGAAAATGATCAGATGATAAGGTCTGGAAGATTTTTGGTTGTTTATTCCATGAATTTAACGTTCACCATATTATAGGAGGACACTGATATATGTCCATACTGGAATCCCAGATAAGCACACAAAGCACAAACAGAAAAATGAACTTTATTCAGGAACAGAAACAAATAGCTTTATATTTGGAGGAGGAGCTTTGTTCTGTTTTTTGTTTTCTTTTTTGCTCCCCATTTCTGAATTCCCCTTGTCAATCCACTTCTGCATTCCAGAGTTAAGGAATCCTCTCTCATTATATACTGAGAGGCATAAACATAGTCAAAGCAGCATAGGAACAGGATACCTCCTTTTTTATACGTGTGAAAGGTTTAGCACTGATACCCTTTGAGACCCTAACTGCCATACAACGATGCTGTCAACCTACCCTGGAAACTATTCGTTTGACTAATCAAGTACTGTAACTACAAGGAGTCTGACTCACAATACATACAGGACTTTTCACCAAGATTTGCTCACACATTTGGGAACCTGTGGTACTTTCAGAGCTGGCACTTGCAATGTTAAAGCTTTAGCTGAAAGTTTATTTGTCAGTGGACTTCAAATTTCTATTGTGACAGCATGAAACATCTGTTGCTCCAGTTTTATAGCTAGATCTGCAAAATCAGCTAATGCAAGGTGCAGAAAGCTCTGCAGAATTATCAGTCTAGCTGTATGTTCAACAGCCAAAAAGTTGCATATATTTCCATTTGTCTTAATTCAATAACCTAATTAACTGAATATACTAGATGTTACATCCTTTCAGCCTTGAGTGCTTCTGAAAACCAATATACATTACCTGTATCTGTAGTAGGAAACCAACATTCTTTCTCTGACTTCTCCTTCAATCTTCTGGTCAATGACCAGCAGCATGACTCCATATAAATAGAGCGCTTCACACTGTTTAGAAAAAGGAAGAACAAAGCGAAGAAATCACATAAATACAATTTTGTAGTAACATGCAAAGACAAACATGTACTGGCAAACTAACCCAACATCAACTACGTAGTCAATACAATATGAAAAATGGTGGGCTGTATATTTTTGGTCTTTGTCCTCCTAAAAGTGATTCATAGCATTTCCATGCATTCGGTACATTTAAATCTTTGTTATTTTGGCACTGAACTAGTTGGTTCATTTTCTGCTATTACACAACTGTTCAATACTTACTAGAAGCTGTTTTCCATCTTCATTAAGGAGGACTGTTTCTAATGTTTGCTGAATGTAAATTCCTTCATTGAGGTCATCTAAATATCTAGGGATCATAACAAAGAGTTCGTAATTTATTATTTTGCTCTCAAATCGTATTTGTCAGAATTCAATTGGCCAATTTTCTCTGAAAGTCAACAGACACATCAGAACATTTCCCTAGTACAAGCAGCATGGAGTTTTTCAGACAAAGAAGAAGAGATGCTCTGCTATGAAACCAGAGGCTAGGACTCCTAGCTAGAGCCAACCAGTTGGCAGAAGCCTCCTTCCATATCCTTGTGGTGTATGCAAAACACACTAGAGGATACTCTGTAACTTACAGCTAACATCCTCTTAATCTTCTTATGGATGGACAAGAGCCTGAGAAGAGAGTACTGAGAAGGCTTCTACTCCAAAATGTGGTAAAACTGTTGTTTTCAAGTTACCTCAAAAATATCTCCTGGAAATACCATAAATTTATCTCAACTGCAATTTGGAAGGTAGAGCTAGAAATAGAGTATGTTCATCTTGATTATCTGAAGATTTCTTCCTATTAAAGGATTTTCTAGTAACGCTACTTATTAATAAGTAATGTTAAACATTTAATCATTTAAACATTTAGTCTTTTCATATAAGATCAATAACAAAAGCAATTCTTACGCTTAAGATTCTCTGGAGCTTTTCCTTATAGTATTTCATGAACCTTTCATAATTTTTTTTACAGGTAAGAGTAGCAAACTTGAGAATATGGCAACTCCGCTGAAAAATCAAGTTCAGGAAAACAATGCCAATGAAAGTTAAAGAAAAAAACCTATCTGATATTCTGGTTTGCAAGACCACAAAAAACTTAGTTTAATAATACGGAGTCGCCTTCTATTAAAAAAAAAAAACACAACCAAACTTCAAGACAATCTCCAAGATAAAGAAGAAAAATCAGCTCTAATGTACAACTGAGGAAATGAGGTAGAGAGGTTAAATGTTTTCAAGTCATATATTAAGCTAGTAAGCAACAGCAAGAGTAATTTAGTGTTCGCTCCAGCGATCCAGGTTTCCAGGTGCACATGAATATGCTTCAACAGCGAGCATATTGGGTCTCTAAGGAAAAAGCTTCTCATTATTAAGACTAAACAGTAATCTAGTCTTTAAGAAAATCCACATGTATTTAAGATACCATACCTGTTTAAATCTACAATGTATTTATGTACACTCTGAAAAGCTAGATAAAATCTCGTCAAAATTTCAATATTGTTTTCACGAAATTCTTCATCTAAATCCAGTAACTCAGGTTTGGCTTCCAGTCTGCCTTCACACGTCTCAGGCCCCTAAGAAGAGAAATTCATCTTTAGAGACAATATTTGACTTCGACCTCTGTTTGACATGTCTTCAGTAGGACCCAGAACATGTGCAACCACCACTGTGTGCACAACACCAGAACTAACATTTCCTACTAAAACAAGAATCTGTAGCTTTCCAAGCTACTTTATGATTAAACATTGATTCCATAAAGATGAGTTTTACACTTTGTTACAATCTGCATTGATTTTAAATACAATTTATCCTATGTGCTGAATGGAAAAGAATATCTAACGCTTTGGGTAAAGCCCCAGTGCATCTGAAGCCACTGCGTGCTTTTCATAGAGCAAACTATATGCCTGCTGGATTGTTTTTCATTTACACATTTGATCTGATTGACTTCTCAGCTAGAAACCATAACATTGAGGCCTCACAAACAGTTGTGAGCTTAGTACCTTCTCTCATACATTTAAACTGCTTGAAAGTATTAGACCTATGTGAGGTTGTTGGGTTTTTGTTGGTTTTGGTTTTTTTTTGTTTGGTGGCTTTTTTTTTTTTTTTTAACAGACTCTGGATCTAGCTCAGCACTAGTCCCCCAAATTAATGCAGAAACAATGTCATTAACAACCATGGGGGAAAAAGGGTTGGGATGAAGAGCCTGACTTCCTTAAAGCAATGGTACAAACTTCTTTAACCATTTACCACTGTCAACATTTCTCATAACCATCATTTTGTCTTACACCCACCAGCTAAATGAAAATATGATTAATTTAACTGAAAATATTATTAACACTTAATTGAAAATACATCTTTCCTCAGACCACTTCCACAGCATGAGATCATTGCTTAAAAGGATTTAGTCAACACAAACGCCATAAAAATAACTTAAAATACAGTTAAAATAAAATATCAAGCTTAATACCCAGCTGATAATTGTTGTGTGGTTTGAAAAACATTCTTCTGTTTCTCTTTTTGTGCAAAATACCCATGTAAAACAAAGGATAAAAGCAGGCCCCAAACTGCTTCTGAAGTTCAAACACATGAAGTAAACAGCCTGAGTTTTCAAAATCTCAAATCTCTTCATATTAGGTAATTCTAAGAATCATGAATACAGGAATGGTGCATTCACTGTGAAAATATCTGTAAATTCACTAATCTCTGCTTTATAAGTACATTTATGGATTTTCTAAAAGAGCAGCAGCACTGTTGTGCTTCCTTAACATTAAAAAAAATCTTACAATTTCAAGGATAATTTAATTTCTCACCAATTATACCTATCTACTTTTAAATTGTCAAGTAATTTGTGTAAAAAAGAGACTTCTAACACACACTTAGATCTAAAGGTATCTTGGAAATTATTTGTGCTCAGGGTTTTCAGTGTCCAAGGCTCACAGTTAGTGCTTGAAATTTACAACTCTTACTAACAAAAAAAAAGCCAAAAACCACCCCCACCCCCCGCCTTGCTTTACTATTAACACTTCTTGAATTGCACAATCCAGATAAAGTCAGATTAGACAGTCTGTAGTTCCTTCTTAATCATGCTGGAGAATGACAGAAGGAAATAGGTAGTGCAAGAAGCTCAATTTTGTAAGGGAAACAAGGGTTTTTCATGGACATTACTCTTGGATTTGTTTATTCAGTGCATGTGACAACTCCAGTGAATGAACAATCACAGTACTGTCAAACAGGAAAGCAGAAAGCAGTTTTCATGGCTGCAAAGAATAAGCTACAGATAACCAAAGGAAGATGGGCACACTGCCCGCAGTGCTGCTCCACAGGAAAACAAAAAACTGCACAGGCTCAGAACCTGCTGGTGAAAGTATAATTTAAAGTTTCCGCAGGAAATAAGAATAATTTGGACACCGCCCCCTGCCCCCAATCCAATACTCAAGTCTTATCTAATCAGTACCCATCAAACCTCACAAGCCAGATGACTCATCAAACATTCTGAAATGTGGAGCTGCAACTGCTCTTGTATGGATGCACTTAAAATTGCCTCCTCCTTTGTGCCCTGATTCTCCCAGTGCAGGTACTGTACCTATATTCTGCCTGGGGGCCTAAGCACTGAACCTTCCCTAGACTGTTTCTTGCTCACTAAATGAATAAGATGAGGCTGAGTATGATCAGAAGCATATAAAATACAAGACAACCCAGAAGCGGAATGTTAGCATGCAAGCACATCCCAATTGCTATCTCATTTTGGTGAATTTTTGGTAAAAACTAGGCAAGTAGGAAGTCATGATAGTCAGTGCTGGAGAATGCCGATAATAAACACAACAGCCAGGCATGGCTGTTTCATAACCTAAAGCATCCTCATGTGCGGGACAGCAATGCTTTAAGGAGAAGTTTAACAATAAAAGGTTTTACCTTAAAATAACTGAAATCAAATATGATATCCCCATACTTCTGTTGATCAGCCTTGTCCCTTAGCCGGAAAACACCAGGAATAAATTCGGAAAGTCTCAGAAGTTCTGCAATGATAGCATTTCCACAGGAGACAATCCGAAGAATTGCCTGACCACAGAGATTGTTTTCAGCCAGAAAATCAACCATTGTGGAGCTGGACACGACAGAGCGGCAGAACTCCTGCAGTCAGATTCTGATCGTTGGTCTTTAGGTTATTTGAAGAAGAAAGTCTGATGAGAAAACTAGCTGCTCCATTAATAACCTGTAAAAACAAACCCACACACATCCAGAGTGGTTCATATTCATGTTTTTGATGGCTTAATCTATGTGGATCTTAAAGCACACTCTCAAATCTTTCAATTTATGAGATCCAAGTTATCCACAGCTTTGTAAAACGAAGAAAATGCACCGAATTAATCTTCAGCACGTACGCCGCGTTTGACTTAACGATCACAAATACTGAAGCAACTGAGAGACAGGGAGATGGCAGCAAGGAAAGCAAAAACATGTTACAAGATGTGTTTATAATAGCCACTTTAAAAATACAACCAAAGTGATTGTAACAGGCGTTAGCAACAAGGAAAACCTTTATAGCAAATGGAAACGGCACAGCTCCATTCCTTTATTTATCGCCGTTAGCTGCTGTGCTGTGGCTGCATTTCCTGGTCACCGTTTTATTTATTGACATGCTTCCTGCAAGATGCAGAGCACGGCACTGCTAAAACTCAGCTTTTATGTTTAGAAACGTTTATGGGAAGTTACGAGTTGACTTGACTTTTCACCGACAACCTTCCAAACCACCGAGATGGAGTCAAGACGACGGCGCCTCTTTCGCCCCAGAGTGCGAGCCGGGAGCCCGCCCGCCCGTGAGGCGAGGC